CCATCTATGATTACGTCCTTTCTCGGTATCGGCGTTTGCGCCGGTATCGTTGCAGCGTTCAACTTATTGAACGCGTGCACTATCCGCCACCCTCCTGTGGCCTTGCGCACACAGAAGGTCGGAGAGCTGTGAGGTAAAGTTGACTCCCTCACATGGCCCGCTGCTAGGCGATCGGCAAAGAACTTGTCGATCGCCTCGACCTGTTCCCGAGGCAGTGGCCACTGCTTCATGACACAATATTTTGTGCCAGGAACAAGGTCGATCTCGTGTCGAGTACCTTTATCCTTAGGCAACTCGCACGGAACGGATTCAGGGAATACATCCTTGAATTCGACCAAATCCTTATACAAAGGATTTGACTTCAGCGACTCCCAGGATTGCGATGTATATCGTTCAATCCGAGTCTTCTCATCAAGGACACTTTCGTCCATTGATGAGCTGCTGAGAACCCGTTCGTTCTCGGCAAAAACTGTTGCTGACAGAATGTCAGTCATGTACTCGTCCTCTGCGACGAGCACACAGATCTGCTTGACTTTGCCACTACGCAGATCACGCAAGAACCTTTTAGGTTCTAGCGTAGGCAACTGAGTTATCTCCAAAGTTAACTTCGGAGGCGCGATCAGATCAAGCGTATAAGCGCCTATGTTTGATCCGTCATTAACCAAGACGTTCAACGTCTCGGTTACCTCCTGGGGACTTATTCCCTCAGGGCACTGGGGACTTATTCCCTCAGTGATTATTTCCTGGGGACTTATTTCCGCAGGCTCGATGGAACTTGTTCCATCGACTTCCTCTAGCTGTGGCGGCGCAACCACAGCGAGATCCTCTACGATCAACTCTCCAGTTGATCTAGGATTACCGTGTTGCCGCTTCTGGGCAACCGGTTTACTCTTCGGTGAATGCTGCCCTCTAGGCGAGCATTCATGTCCCGGTCCACTCGACTTATTCGAGTGGTGGACCTTCGGCGCTGCCTGTGCTTGTGCACATCCGCCGGCAGCTTGCTCCACAGCGTGACTGTCTGTCACGCTGAGTTCTTGTGCAGTCGTACTAACGACCGAACCACAAGTGAGGCCATCACACTCACTCGTAGTACATTCACACGCTTGTGAACGCTCCAAGACATTCATTAGATGGCCATCTGATGAACAAGCGGCAGGCATCTTCACGGTTCGATGCTGCCAGCTGACCCATGGCTCGTACCTTCTGAGCCATGGTAATCCTAGGATGACATCAAATTTGTCATCCAGATCAAGTACGATGAAATCATCATCGTACTTTTTGCCTTCAAGCGTGTAGTGAATTCCCACTACACGTTTCTTTACTGTTACGGATGCGCCAGTTGCAAGGCGCACCGTCATCCTCGTTGGAGGGGTCTCGCGCTTAACATATTTGAGCCTACGATCATCTAGCGATTGGCGTCGAACAAAGTTGTTCAATGCCCCACAATCAACTAGGGCGCGAAGTGACATGTTCTTTCTCACTTCGATCTTCAATGTGATGAGGGATACCTCATCACTGGGAGCGGCAACACACAGTGACTGTGTGTTGGGAGCAACCTTCGTCAAGAGTCCCGCGAACTCTCTTGACGTTGCTGGATCAGTAGGGCGCTCCGCCCCTACTGACCCCGACCGTTTTTTGATGGTCCACCACGTTGTTGCGATTTCGCAGCAACGTGGGACCCACGTCTCTGGCCCTTCTTGGCAGACGGTCGATCGTCACTCCCAGTGTTTCGAGACACTGGGCGTGGGGCACTACACTCATAAGCGTAGTGGCCCAACTTCTGACAGCGATTGCACTTTTGCAATCGCTTGTACCCTGGAGAGCGAGGTCGCTCGCTCTCTACATAGGAGAGGTCCATTGGTTCTGGACCTCCGCCCTCCTGTCGTCTCGGTGGACGATAGGACCCCGAGTGGACGTGAGCCTGTTGCAGGCTAAAGTCCTCCTGTTCCGCTGCAGAGATCGCTTGATCCAGCGATTCTAGCTCCAAGCGGAACAGGTGGGTCTTGACAGGACCATCTGTCAGACCCTTGATGAACACAGTAACCTGCGTGTGTTCATCGATTGGGTTCAGTACGATACAGCTAACGAGGTATCGTACGTGTTGGGCGTAAGCGTCTATATCACGCTTACCCTGTTTCAAATCCAGGAGCTCAGCCCGAGCCCTGAATTCGGCGCGAGGCGGTTCAAACGTGTGTTTGAGCCGCGCCTTGAAGACGTCATACGTTGGGAAAACGTATGGGTCGTGCAGTTTGAGCCCTAAGGCCCAAGCTTTGGCACGTCCTGCCAAGTTCGACATGGCGAACTTGATCTTCATCGCATCGTCATCGATGCGACGAGTCTCAATGGCATCGTCGAGCTCGACGAACCATCTCAACAAGGAGTCGCTTTCGACTGCCTTGTACTTGGAGACATCAATCTTCAAGGACTCGGGTCGACGCGCATACGCCGACCCGGCAGCAACAGCACTAGCCTGCTGTTGTCTCAACAGTTCAGACTGTTGAGCACCCTGCTGCATCAACAAGTCAGCTTGTTGAGCGCCTTGTTCTCTCAACAGTTCAACCTGTTGAGAACCTTGCTCCTCTAGCAAGGTGAGTTTCTTTACAACTTCGTCAAGTTCATGTTGTATGAACTTGGCGATGGTTGCATGTTGGTCGTCTCCGCTAAGAGAGAGCAACATGGCACCAACGGCAGGGTTGCCGATGGTTTCAGCCATACGCTGAACCGCATTCCATTCGAGGTCACTCAAATGGCGGAAATCATCACGCGTTGCGTGATGACGTTCATCACCCGCTGATTCTATAGCGGGTGGTGCGGTGGTCGCTGAACGGACCACCAAGTGCTACCAGGTGTAATGGGGCACCCTCCGACTATACTGATTACAGTATAGTCTACTTTCACTGATTACAGTGAAAGCAGGTGCCTCAATTACCTCTCTTACACAAGAGGCAGAGGAAGCTTTACTTTTAAACAAACGCTTAGAAGTAGAGGAAAAGAAAACTGTATTTAATATAGTTAACTATCTTAATAAACTAATCTGTTATAACCTATGTTAACTATATTAAACTACAACTATGTATGTTGACAACTTGCCCTCCACTCATTGCGCGCGTCCATCGGTCATTGGTCAGCGCGTTGGTTGATATGATGGCCCATATCAACCAATGAGAGGGCATCTCCAACTTCAAGGAGATCTAGGAACAATATTATAAGAGAAGGTAATATTGTCAAAATATTATTAGTTACAATAATATTTTTATTGACACTTCATATAAGTGTCAATATTATGTAACGGGCTCGCCCCGTTACAGGGTAAGTTCCAAAGCCTGGATGTTCATCCCTCCACCCGCTCCCAGAGCCGAACCAAAGACGCTTGACCCCGCAGAGTCCTTCCGGTGTCACCGGCATGTTCCTTCTGGGAGACCTTCATCCGATTCAGCCGATCAGATAGATCTCCGAGCATGGCAAGCACCTTGCCCAGCGCCGCATCAGGCACTGCCGACTTTTCTTCGAGGTGGTCGTCGCTAACCCAATTAGGGTCGCCGACTGCCAGCCTGTTTGGGCTTGCCCACAACACGTTCCGTTGGGCTCATAACCTGTAAGAGTGGAGTGAAGTAGTGGTGCACTTGAGCACGTAGAGGTAGAAGTAAAATATATTTAGCATTAACTACTCTCCTTCGCTAGTGCTTTAACATGTACGATAAAGTCAACTGCGACTATGCCATGTCTAGTCTGTAGTCTTCGTCTATCCCGCTTCGCCACATCTGTTAAGATGTCACAACATTAGCCAATTCGGGTGCGGTCGCAACTTACCGGGCACAGGGTATAGCCCTTGCCTTCAACACCTTGCAACCTGTCAAAAAACGATCGTTTCTAACAACAGCATGGCTCGCGCTTGTGAAATCAAGCGTACCTGCACCTCCTTCGCCTGTATGCGCAAGACCGTGCAGCTTGGAAGGCCTTCAGCGCGGCGCTTGTAGCGCGCTCCGCTCATTGGACCCTGGCGAGAGTAGAGAGAAATGTAGAGAAGAGAGATAAGTCGACGCATGCGGAAGTTAAGCCAATTTGGTGGCAAGACGGCTTGCATAATGCGTTTACTTACATACATAGGTATGGAGTAAAGCTTGTATCTGATTAAATACTGATGACCTGACACCGTAAGAAATGTCCTCAATGGGTTTGCATCAATGCAATATCATTCTAAGCTGGTAATAAATATACACGACAGAGATAGGTAAGCACCAAGCACCTGCTCAGTCGACAGCTACAATTACAGTTGCTGATTCGTAGTGCGGTGAGCTCGCCAGCTACAGGCGTAATTACGGTTGTATACAGACATACATAATGATAGCGGACTTTGGGCGTGGCGGCTTACATCGTAGCGGCTTGGCTGGCGGCTGGGGGTGAGAGCGGCAAGAGAGAGGTGTGTAGAGGGAGAGGCCCGTCAAAAACTGACGGATGCCGCGGAAGCATCCGTCAAAGGCCTAAGCTAGCATTATGCTAGCTCAAGCCTCCAAAGAGGGCGTTACTTAACCCGACCAGGATTTTTTACTTACAGCAGTCGAAAATGACTGTAATTGTGACGAAGTACAAGATGTCGTGTCCCTGATTCTAGGTGGGACATCGAACAGTTAGTCGTATGATGCTGGGACGCATCGTTAACGTTAAAGGCCAGTTTGGGCACAGAAGAGAAGTTGCCATGCTGTCGCGTCAAGCGGATGAGACGATCAATGCTGTTAAGAACGATACAAGTGATATGACCATTGAATGGGTCCTTGATTCAGCAAGTGATTGTCATGTATGCACGAATAAGGAGATTCTGATGAATTTGCGATTCAATGAGCAAGTGTTCCGTGTTCTCTATTCCCTACTCTGTATTACTGTATTACAGAACCAACGACACTCACCTGCGCAGTGATAAGTGTGACAGGTTATGAGCCCAAGTCTTCTTGCACTGTCCAAGTAACAAGTAACCTATTGACCCAGGGTTTGGAGTAAGTGAGATGTCGTCCAATGATACAGCCACTAGTGATGTGTTGACGAGCGTGAGTAATGTTGCGACCGCTGTGAGTACTGTGACGTCTGGTATTGCACCTAGTGGATTGAGTGGGGATTTTACCACCGCAACCGCGCCACCGGCTATCCCATTACCTGGATCAGGATTTCCAGCGGGAAGGCCTAATGCGGGTGGTTCCTTACCTGGAGCTGGTGGGATACTTGCCCCTATGCCTGAAGTGAATCAAGTACCTGACGGTGGATTTGGCATGAAGCTAGACAACAAACCGCCGATCATGCATGGGAGTTTTGATCTGTATGCGGTTGAGCTGGAAACGTTCTTACGCCGCATTCATGTGTGGGGTGTAATTGACAATGAGTCGGTTGTACGAGCTTCGACAACAATTACACAGTTTGCTTTGATGGATAATGTTGCTCGTGGTACTATACTGCATGGTATTTTAACAGCCGATGCTGAGCTTGTCTGTCACGAGGCAAGCGCTCACGCGATGTGGTCGCGCTTTGTCGATAAGCAAACCAAGAGAGAGTATGCGAATTACATCTTTGCACGACAACTACTGTATGCAAACAAGTATACGCATGACAGAAATATGAATGATTGGCTACGTGAGATGGAATTTCAGCGGAATGAGCTGCAACATTACCAAAAAGTACTCTCTGATGAAGAGTTCGCCGAGATAATTTTAAGCAATGTGTTACAGACACATCGTGAGGTTGTTAGGCAATTATCTAAGCATTACGACCCTGGGATTCAGCGTTTGGCTCCGTCGTCGGCACAAGTGATGTATGCTCTTCGAGCAGAATCGGAGTTGGATGCCCGAAGTAACGAAACACAAATACCCAATATTTGTGCTGCTCAAACTACGAAGGAGCCAAACAAACGGCTACAAATACACTATCAGCAACCCTGGAAAGAGAAGCGACGAGGTCGAAGTCAATATAAGGCCCATGGCAGCAACCATTACCAGAAGTCGGGTGGTGGTAGTGGCAAGGCTTTAACAGTAAAGAAGTATCATGGAGACAATCGTGAATGCTGGAACTGTCATGAAAAGGGCCATACCCAGCAAGATTGCACACGACCGAAGTACGCCATAGATGAGTCCAAGTCACAACTCCCGGAGCGTAAACGCTGGGAAAATAGAAAGCAGAGGGATTGAGGAGGGAAAACCCTCGTAGGTGACAACCCCCAATGTTAGACTAGACTACAGTAGATACCAACAGGTATACCTCAACTGTCAACTAGTCTAACAGAGGGGGTTGTCACCTACAAGGTTTTTCCCTCCTCAATCCCAAAGTTGCTCAGTGGGAAGCAAGTGTTCCGTGTTCTCTATTCCCTACTCTGTATTACTGTATTACAGAACCAACGACACTCACCTGCGCAGTGATAAGTGTGACAGTAATCATTTGGGGTGTCGTTTAAAGTGTAAGCTCGGACGAGGTATGCTCCGGCAATATGTAACTATATAACCTATACTCGAAGCTTGAGGAGACAGCAAATGCAATATTTGTAGAGAGCTGTTACTTTGCTCACTCGATCAATTCGGCCGTAGATTTTAATGATGGCACTAATGCTTGAACCAACAGCTTATCTACTATAAACTCTTGCAGTGCGATGTTACAATTTGCGTGAGATGGAATGATACATGGTAACATTCTTGGCAGTGCATCTCTGCGCATGTTTCAAATACTTAAGTTCTTGGTCGATTTTTTCTTATCGAACGTTATGCTAGTCTTCAAAACTTGCTCTGAGCACCAAAGCAATTAAAAAAATAAAAAGTCAAAAGGATCCTCGTATGTTTTTGACGAGTTTAAGTGTTCTTTTTGAAGTCGTGAAAGCTTGTTCTTAGGCAGGCATCCGTATTAAATGGTAGCTGAGCGTTGGATGCCCTGCGGAAGTCATAGATCTCACAGTTGGCGTTGTCTTTCTCCAGTACAGTGTCCAGGTTACTCCACCAATGCGGTAGCAACTTCGAGCCAATAAGGTGAAACCACGGCGAGAGCTTTCGTGTGGAATCGCTTAGAAGTGTCGGCAAGTTTTCATGCGCAACATATTCGACCTGCTCCACCTCGTTCTTATTCAATTTGTCCAGAGAAACCTCGCCACGGGCGAAGAGGATGTGGTCCATCTCGTACTCCGTCCAATTGGCACCAGACGCGGCCTGCAGCCATTAACAAGAATTAGCATGCTGCATGCAATGAGTAAGACGATCTGCTCCGATCGCAATCCTACGGTACCTTGTACATGACAGAGGAAACATACACCAGGTCGTTTATGGCAAATGTTGAGGTAGGTATGCCAAGCTCGTGCTCCAGCTTTCGAATGGCCGCACGCTTTACGCCAACGCCATCTTCGAGCTCACTTTCAATAAAGAGTGGGTGGCTGCATGATTCAAATATAAGATACGACTTTTCTTGACAAGCAGAACGCCACAATACCGGAGTACTTTACCTGCAGCACGTGTTGGCCCAGAAACCAGGAAACGTAATTTTTTCGCTTGCGCGCTTTTGGATCAGCAATTCGTTCTCGAAGTTGAAGACGAAGACGCTAAAGGCGCGGTGCAGCACGCCATCGTGGATATGCGCTGTCCAGATAAAATACAACAAAGAGCTCAGTCTAAAATTATCCGTACTTTAGCTAACTGCCAGATTTACCATCTTTCTTGCTAATGGGCCCCACCACGTAATTCTGCTCGTCAACCTGCACAATCTGCTCCTTCATAAACTCTAGCTGTTTGACGTCGGCTCCAGCTGTGAATTCGTCGAATGTCACGCGGCCAGCCATGCTAAAGGCCGCCGTACTGTTACGGACCGCAGCTTCTACTAGAGCGTTGCTTCCACGCAATTTTGCAAGCACCATCATTTCACTCTTGTACCGAGGATACAACAAAATATTTTCAACCAACCAAAGATGGCGTCTCAATAGGTATTTAGGGGCTAATAGGTTATGTATGTGTCTGCCTTACGTTCAAACGACGAAGAAAAGGCCCAGCTTTCTAAAGGTAACTAAACTTCCTATATCAGTCTAGCTCACACAGCCGCTCGCTGGTGCGGGACTTGAAAGGCCAGTGCTTTCTTCGTCACAGTTGACACTTAAAGTTGCCTACTTACTGTTTGCCTTGTCACTTGGTGGCGCTTCTTAATCCGAGTCTTTGAGCTCCAACGCCTCCTTAGCTCGGTAAATCTTGGACTGCAGATAAAAGGATCCGCCCTTGGCCGGATCGTTAGACTCGAAGTACCTTGAGAACTGCTTCTGGATCTCCTCAGGCGATGGAGTCACGCCGCTCGTGGGGAAATTAAGGATCTCGAGCGCCTGCTGCTTGGACATTTGATTCTTGCGTACCACCGTCTTGGCAGCCATTGCACCGGTGTTTCCTGAACGTGCGTTGTGCACAGCTTGCTGGTAGGCCTGCACAAATGCCTTGGACACGATTCCCGCGCCCATAACTACCACCTGCGCGATGATTCTGCCTAAGGGTCCCGACATGCTGTGTTCGAACTCTCGTTGGCTCCGACAAAAAGTATAAGTCGAATTTAGTGAAATACCATCCCAAACTCGTTATTTGCGAATAAACCTATAATTATATATGAAGAGGTTGCATTTTGCATTTTGACCTTTAAGCCCATGCAACCTATCCACGGTGCTCTATAGCTGCTATCATAGCGCATGCAAATCGACACGATGACAGTCACTTTTTTCAACGTGGACAGCGATCTGCGCGGAACTTACCTGAGACAGTCAGACTACGAGCTTAGTCCGATTGTAGAGCTACTTAAGCTTCAAGCCGAGCGAATCTCTTGCGTGCGGATGAAGTAGCTCTTCCACTCCTTACATCTGACTTGCCGTCTAGGTCGTTCTCGATTTCTAGTTCATCTTTCTACGTATGACGGCATTAAAAAGCTCTTTGTTTTTAATATTAGCATAATTGCCTTCGAGGGCGCTCGGATCAACCTTCACGCAAGAGCTGAGATCTGCTATAAAGACAACGCAGATGATTCCTTTTGCTGACAAAAGATCCCCTTCTGCAACTCTTTGACTATGCTGTCGAGATGTGCAGCGTCAGCACACGCTGAATTTATAGCGCCGCCGTCGCATTGCGGCTACCCGCTCTTGACGAAGATTGAATCATCTGGTTTCTTGCAGGCGGCGAGCAGGTTCAGTTCGGCAGGTGCGCCGTGTCAAGCGCCTCGAAGCAGGGTTGTTTCAGTTCGTCGGTGTCGCGGACACTGCATAGAAGAATATAAATTACAAATACACGCATGTCATTCTGCAGTTCGAGTAAGGCTGATAGTTGGAGAGCCTTCGACGAAAACGTTTTCAAACGTCAGAAAAGGCTTTGGAACGAAAGACGAGTCTTGCTTGTGGTTGGCGCATTCCTGGAAGACGCTTTTAGAATGGGGAGAACAAAAAGGGTACAAGCAACTTGCCTAAAATGTTACTACCATAACTGATACCTTAACTTAGCTGCTAAATTTTTATTTGACAATGATCCCCTACAAGTACTTCCATAACGGATAGATAATTGGTCTCGAGCAATACATAGTAGTAGTCCATACAAACAAAAAGTCAAATGTCTGAAGTATAGCCTTTGATATAATTGTAAGTAGAACATTGTGTTCAGCTGCAACAGTAATTAATAGTTTTTATTTATTTTAAGGAGGCATTATTTATCAACCACCCATCTTTGATAATAACCAAATTTGCTCAAATCTGATTAATTAGAATGCCAAATGTCTACACCTCTTAGCAATAAAACAAGCTGTTCTTTCGCTATTCGGGTCATGCTGCGCGAATGTGTCTCTACAACCCTTTACCGGCAGTGCTCACTTGACAAACACACTCTGAGCTCGACGTTTGCTCGTCGGAGCCATGTGGCACATGTCTCTCATATGTGGGTTCGCTCGTCCCCACTTGAATACTTGTAATTACTTATAACCTTTGTCAAATTTTGTTTTTTAAAACCTCTTCTTTAGCATTAATTGCTTATAATGAAACAAAGCCGTAAAGTTGAAGAGTGTATCCATATATCTGTCAGAAGCCACAACTTTCAAAAAAAGAACACTATATAGTACGCCTGCTTGGAGATGATCCATAAGTTGTTTCTGCATAAAAATACTCTTGCGCATCGCAGCATTTGCTTAGAAACTGCAGCGTCAATTCCTACTACCTCGGCCAAGCGGACTAAGAAAACTGTAACGGAATTCTTGTCTGCCTTGATCAAGGTCTAAAGAAAACTTTTCATATTCCATTAGGAGCCCAACTGACTCCGTCATGGTGTTCACCAAGATCTCGGCGCTGGTCCAGACGCAGTGGAGGATACTACGCAGCACTTTCGATGCCGAGAGACACGACCGTCGTGTGCAACAACGGCAAGCAAAGATACTCTCAAAGCAGCAGCGTAGAGCGGCACGCAGAACCGCCCGTGAGGCGCGGCGGGCGCAACGCGCCGCCGAAGCACATCTAAATGTTGCCGTCGCAAATGAAAGTGCTAGTTTTTATATATACGAGCCGAGTGGGGGACGACAAACGACAAACGATTCAAGGTCTCTTCAGAGACCAAATTTAAAATCTGTCGACGAAATGCCTGTGGTGGCAGATGTGACCACGGTGGCAGTCGCAAGAGCTATAGAAGCTGTGCCACAACTCTCCGAAAAGCTCGCACTTGAGATGGAGGCTCAGCTGGAGCAGAAGCAGCGTGATTTTAACGACTCATTTGGCGGTTACAGTACTGTGGATGAAGACGACGACGAGCTGATGCCAGCAGTTCTAGTCGGCGGTGGGCATGCAAGTGACGCCAAGCTTCCAGCCAAGTGGACAGTTGTAGGCATAAAGAAGGCAACGACTTTAACGCAAGAATCGGAGGCGTTGTTGCCCGAAGCAAAGGAGCAAGAAGAGGCTACTGGTGCAAGGACTTTGGTGTACTTGGCAGTCTCTCCTTCAATCGGACCAAAGTCATTTTCAAGCTCGTCAGAACTGGTAGAGACCGAACCTGAGGATGAGGAGGTATATCTACGTGACAGCGCAGCGTTCGATGGCTACAATACGTTTGACGAGGAGGAGAAGTTGCAGAGCCAGTTCACGACACATCCTAAATGTAATGGGCTCTGTGTATCTCCTTCAGATAGCTTATCTACTCAGTGTAGCAATGAGGCATCGATTGACATTCTTGAAAGCAAGGTTCGAACCAACTGGTGTGGCGTTGGGCAGGATTGGAAGGTCGAAAATAAGGACGAAGATGAGGTTACTGTCGAATTATTTTTTGAAATCGGTCTGACCGAGGAAAAGGTACCGGAACGATCTTTTGGACTGGAAGAGCTTGACACAAGAACGTCACCCCGGCTGTACAATTATACGAATGAACATGCATTAGAGGCTGCTCAGCATCTGCATGCTAAAGATAAAGTGTTCGAAGAGCAATCGGTTGCGGTTGATTCCGAAGAAGTATTGGAGGGTCTGGAGGGTCTGGAGGCTGTGAAGGAAGTTAATACGGAGTCGAAAGGAGTGTCTAAGGATGTTGACATAGTGGAGCGAGAATTTATGATTGAGGAAAAAAAGTCGCTGCTTCCGGCAGATGACGATATGCTTTGTCAGCAGGTGAATGCTCCTGCATCACCTTATCATTCGCTGGTACAGTCGCGCATTTCGCCGCATGGAATTTACTCCCCAGGCACGATGGATGAGTACGGTTGCTCCATCTACGAAAGTCTTCGAGCGCGGGAACACCGATACCACGTTACGGAAGACATCTTCGCTAAGCAACAAAGTGTTCGACCGAAGATGCGTGCTGTGCTTGTGGACTGGCTTGTTGAAGTGCACCAGCGTTTTGAGCTTGAGGCACAAACGCTGTACCTGACTGTTAACTATGTCGACCGGTATTTGGCACAAATATCGGTAAATTCTCAACGTTTTCAACTTGTGGGGGTGGCAGCATTGTTAATAGCTTCCAAGTTTGAAGAGATTTATCCGTGTGATATGGATGATCTACTTTACATCTGTGAGCGGTCGTACTCGAAGACGGACTTGGTTGATTGTGAAAGAGATCTACTTAACGTGTTAAAGTTTAATTTGGCTGTACCGAGCGTCAGCAGTTTTCTGGGGTATTACCTGGAGCACTTTGAAGAGGAAGACAAACTTATTGGGCAGCTGGCTAATTATTTTGGGGAGTGCTCACTGCTCGACTTCAAACTTGGAGCTATCTATGAGCCCTCAATCGTTGCTTGTGCTTGCTTGCTCGCAGCCTACTGCTACATCGAGAACCAGACGCCAAACCTTGTGTGGAACTACCGCCTTGTAGAGCTCACGGGCTACGCAGTTGAGGCGATTGTCCCCTGCACTCAGGACCTGTCTTCAATTTTGATTCAACCGACCGAGTTGACCGCCGCCGCGACCAAGTACAGTAGTATCGAGTTCGGCGAGGTTGCTTGCTTGCTGCTGGATGATCTAGAAGTGCTATTATTCTGAGTGTAAGTATGACAACTGATTGCTGTAAGCTTTACTCGATCCTGTGTATGTAGGTAGTTGTACATAAACCAATTCTCGAGCGCCAGCTAGTCAGACCTAAAATATGATTCAATTAATAAACCCCATAAACGTGACATCTTTAGCTTGCATCATTGGGATTGACAGTCGCAGCACAAAGTATAAATGGCGGGCAATCGCTACGGTTGCTCTTGGTCTCCTTCATTAATGCACCAAAAATCGAGCGTGTACCACTTTGCAAATTCGAAAAGGGGTGCCTTAGAAACCGTTGCTTGCAGCTTCTCCAAAAAGTTCGTCGATGACTTCGTAGTTGATTCTTCGGCTCTTTAATTTCTGTGTTATTAAAAGGTTAAAGGTTAGATAAAGAGTATGAACATCAGCTCGGAGGTGCTTGACGCATGCTCACATATATTGCGTGTTGCGCCGTGTCCGGGGGCGGCGCATCAATATCAGGAAATTTCTTTCTCCTCTTTTTCATTGGGGCATCAGGTGCTGACAAGCCAAGTAGTCGCTTTTGCTCCTGTAATGCAACAAAAAATCACGAACCTATCGTAAGTAAGTTTAATGAGCTGGCGTTGCGATAATTGGACGTACCTGCTCTTGAATAAAATCCTTGTTCATCTTCTCCCATAGTAGCCTTTTCTTTTCCGCCTCTTCTCGTGTTAACAGTAACGAGTTAATTTCATCGTCATCCAAGTCTGAGAAAGTATCTACAGCATTCTCCTCAACGTGTCCTTTCCCAGTGACGCCCTGTTTCTCTATGTTTCTCACAGCTTGCTCGTGCCCATGATCATGGCCACCTAAATTTTGTCTCCGCTGTTCGTGATCACTACTTCTTTCAGCTAAGTCAAGCAAACTTCGTCTCCTTACTCCTGCAGATCCTACTTCGTCGTCTGCCGAAGATGACAAATAATCGATAAGCTTGGTTTCACCATTAACGTCTCCAAGTGACTCTTTTTCTCCGCTTCGGCTAACCATTGCTGATGTGTTGTCCTCCTCCAGTGCCATTGTGAGATCGCGTTCTATAGTCTTGTAGAAAGTGGCCTCATCGCGTTTCCTCATTATGTAACGAGCTGATTTCTTGCGCACACGAATCAAAACTTCGTGTGCTGCTAAACGACTTGCTCGATTAACAATCTGGTCATTCGCGTTGTCAAACCCATAATCAATCTCTTCATCGTCTTCTTTGTCAGCTCTGCCTTTGCCGATCACCGAACCTTTAATTCCCACATTCGTGCAATTGCTACCAAAAAGTGCTTCTCCTTGTCTCTTTTTGTAGTACGCATCACTTGTCAAGAGGCGCGACATCTCCTCATCCTTCATACGCTGCGCTTTCTTGTCCAACAGGCCTTTGGACAGGGCGCTGTCTCTGACTTCGTCATCATCGCTGTCGTCGTCCGAGCCTCTCCGAATCCTTGTCAGTCGCTTTTTGTGTCCTAATTTCTGCTCCAGTAATACTTTTTTCGATTCAACAAGCATCATTTCCATTACTTCCTTCTCTCGGTGACGCTGAAAGCTGGGTGGATCACACTCCACGCGCGACATCTCGAGCTTTCCTACTTGGTCGTACGTCAATTGCGCTGTCGGGGTGAGTGAGAACTCATAAAGTCGCTGCTTAAGCGTCCGTTCTCCGATATTAACGACATCCATGACGTCGTGCAGACTGCACATGACCGACTGCGAGCGTGCCGCAATGAGTAACGCTGCACCGCAGATACCCGAGGGCCGACGACCTGTCTCGATCCAGTCGCGCTTCATAGTAGCCACAAGACGAAGTGCCGTAGTAGCAATGCTGTGCGTCTTTCCTGCAAAGTTGAGTTGCGATGCAAAGCGGTGGATATAGAGCGACGGGTCAATGAGCGGAAGATGAATTTGTAGCAGCTTGCAGAATTTAAGAAAGACGCCGCCGAGCACGTACACGTTAATCTGCAGCTTATCCGAAAAGTCGATGAGCAAGTGCGGCGAACGCTCTCGGCGACATACGATATAAAGGCAAGCAGCAATAACCGTCTGCGTCTTGCGACCGTGTGTAAAGTTGCGCTGAAGCGCCAGAGCGAAGAGACGAAAGGACGAGTCCACGTAGTGGTCCCCGAGTCTCAACATGCCTGCAATCTGGCGAATCTTCTTCTTGCCATTAGCAAGCGTATTAGCGCGAGACTCAACTCCGTAGTTGCGGCCGCTAGTGCCAATATTACCGTAAGATTTAGAAGCTGTAGCCGACACAAACTGCCCTACGACAGAATGCGCGCCGCCGCCAGACTCCTGAAACTCGATAGACGACACGATGTTGTTCTCCTCAAGAATAGTGCCACAGCTTACACAAACCGCCTCGCCGCTCACATCTACCACATCGATTTCTGTGCAGGAGCACGTGGGACAGATGCTGCTAGTCATATTGCTATCTGCTTATTAGCCAAGGCTCTTAACTCTAGTAACATTAATACCAGTCAAACTAAAGTGCGTAACGTACACAATAGTGGTGTGAGCCACCCAATACCTGTACAAGCCGATTTGACGCGGTAGGGGCCATGTCAGTCACACGCCGCCCCTCGCCAGAACGCAGCCATGGCCACGCCCAATTTCCACACGCCTAATCAGGAAATGCCGCCGTCGGGTGGCTTCAACCCCGTCAAGTTTGTTAAGAATGGTCCCGCCACGCGCGGACCACCGGGCTGGTCGCTTTTCCTTGGCACCTTCCTTGTCACATCTGTTGGTTACTATCTGGTCGGCCAGCACAACAAGCATCATCGTGAAGTGGCTAAGGAGGAGCGTGAAAATCGCATTTCAATTTTGCCGTTCCTGCAGGCTGAGGCAGACGTTGAGTATCTGGAGCAGGAGAAGCACATCTTGGAAAAGGAGCGCCAGGTTATGAAAAACGTACCTGGTTGGGTGAATGGTCAATCGCCATATCACTCAGACCGCTACCAGGCGCCTTTGTGGGCTCAGAAGAAATAGCGAACGAGAGGAAGAGGCTATAAGCCAGGGGACAGAACTCTGACAAGACCGAAGAAAATATGGTTGCATGTTGAAATGCAGTCACTCAGTTGGCGAAGTTAATGCCATGAAACTTATCGCAGTCAGAGAGTTTTAATGTGTGCAATAAGGCATGACCTTGTTTTATTACCTTATCGGTGAGATTAACTCGTGTTGTGGCAGTGGCGTTGTATTGCAGTGCAGGACGAGATAACTACTAATAAGCAGCGTCTGGACAACTTAAAGTCCGTCGTCCATCTCGTCCTCAATTTCCTTGGCAAGCTCCTCTTCCTGCATCTCACGCTCCAGGCGCTCCTCGGCACTTTCCAAGTCCTTCTTGTAGGCATCCGGCGGGTAACGCATGGCCTTGACGGCTTCGTTATGCACGTCTAGGCAAAAAGTAATACGCCTCTGGAAGGCGGTCTGCGGATTGTCGGTGGTATACACGTTTACTGTCTCCTTGAGTTGCAGCCAGCCATTCTCGTGGTCAATTACGGCGTCAATCACTCCGTCCCGGATAGCCTTAGCACACACAAACTCAGCAGTCTGCGCGTTTTCCAGTGCAAGCTTTTCGCAAATGTCCTTGAACAGAATCCGCGAATACGACGTGCTTATTTTGCGCAGACCTGTCTTAATGACGTTGTGGCGCAAGCTATGGAAAGCACACAGATTTACGTCAGCCAGTAACACATTTGATTGGCATCGCCAACTACTCGTCTTACTTACCGAAGAATTAGCGTGTAGGTGTTATCAGCCTTGAAGACTGCTCCATGCTGTGACAAAACCACATTGAATTCCTCAAGGTTACCCACGCGGACAGCCTGGTCACATTATTGAAATCGTCGCCACAATGGTCAATCTCCATAAATAAATCAATATAATCTCAAACTCTTACATTGGTAAGTTGTAGATACGGCGCCAATGCCTTCCGGAGTTTGTCCTGGTTGAATACGTTACGTTCGGGAACCTCACCCATAAGAAGCTGCACGATAATTGCAAGCTTGTAGACTGTGCGTCGAAAGCCAAATGCCGTGTTAGCCGGGGCTTTACGTATGGATTGCATCAGCTTCGTATACGACTCGGTGTACTCCAACTGCACCGCCTGCATCTTGCCCACGTAGTACAGGTAGCGAACAAACTGGTTGTTCGACACCGTTTCGGGGAATGTCGTCTTACTCACAAACTTGTAGGCCTGTTCGTACAAATTATCCTGTAGGTAATTGCGCAGCAGAAGGTTAATTGTCGTAGCCTGCCCAACTTCGTCGTAGCGTAAGCACGACGTGCGATGGGCCTCCAGTAGCGTGGTGCGGATAGCAGGCAGATCGTGACCGAATTGCTCATGGATATTGGAGTAGTACGTCAAGACCTTGGCTTGGAACACGTCCAGCGTGCGACGGTTGAACTGTTGACATCGAGAAACTACTTCGTCTACCGTTTGTAAAGCCTCCTGTGCCAGTTTATATTTAACTAGCGCCGCCAGCACATATAGAAACAGATAAATCTCCACTTCAATCAGATCCATCACAGGCAGCACAATAGGCGCAGGGGTAGCAATTGTAGTCTCCCCCACCTCTGGCGACGCATCCATCATTTCCACATCCTCGTCTTTCGTGGCACGAGCCTTAGCAGCAGCATCAACTTGAGCTTTAGTCTCAATCTTGGCCAAGAGCGTGAGTAGAACGTGCTTAGACGCATTCTGCGCTGGCAGCAGCTGCTCAACGGCCCGCTGCAGCTGTCCCACCGACAGCGTTTTGCGCAGTTTGCTTGTGGTGCGGAGGATGCGCGGAATCTTCTCTTTCGCGTTGGTCTTCACCACCGTTTCCAGCAAAGTAATAGTCCGCTTCAATTCTACATACAAATAGCATATAATCAAGTCAGCGAAAACCTATTTAGTTTCATCCTACTAAAAGGAAACGTAATTGACCTTCGTAGACAAGCGCTTCTTCAGCAGCCACCTCCTGAGCAGATAGACCCTGGTAGGCAGGTGTCTGCGAGAATGTTGTCTGCGCACTCATACTATCTGGGTGGGGGGAACTTTTAGAGGCGCGTTAAGTTGTTTTGATAGATTTCGTCGCGATCTCACCTTTATGTGGACCACAATTGTGGTAGACCAGATCTCCCTTCGTTTAGCTATGGGTATCGTGATCGACAATATCCATAACTTAACAGAGATTATAGTTTATCAGTTTTTTATATGTATCAAACATACGAGAGTAATATATAGTAAAAAGGCGGACCTGGGCAAACAGACCTACCCCACTTCCCCTTTAAACAAAACAGGCTCCAGCCCCAAGATTCCTACTGCTAGTAAGAGCTTAAGTCACAGGCTCCTTTGTTGGTTTGACCCGTCCCCCAAAAGGTGTGAGACACGTCGCCTACTTAATTTTCCTGTACTAATCGTGATGGCTATATGTAAATCTAGATGGTTTAAGTAACGGGCCACGTGACCGATGGCGGTGTCATGTATCTCATAAAGGATACGATATTTGAGGTCCTCTTCATGAGGGAACACAATACGCGGAGGATCCGCCACATCTGTACAATAGTACAACATCCCTTGATCGATAGAATATCGATGGAGGCTCGCACGTAATCGAGCCGACACTTTAATGTCCGAGTCTTGAAACTCAT